AATTGTTATTTAGGCAATTTCGGTTGCAAATGGATGTGCTTCAGGCCCAAACGGAGAGCTATCTTCTGAGAAGCCAATGCAATTCAGCAACGCCGAGGTCCACGACTTACGGATGGCCGAAACATTGAAAGCAGATGGAGATGCAGCTATACACACGATTCGAGCAACGAATGCGCGTGATGAAAGCAGCTGCAATCGACCCAACTTCGTACGGAAGTTCGTCCGTCTGTTGAAGACCAAAGGTCATGAATTAATAAAACTGTTTCCGCAAAACCTAGACGATTTTCAGATGCAGACTACAGCACAGCAGAAGCACACCAATATACGTGCAGAAAAAAAAAAAGTCAATCGTGAGGCGGTGTCATGGCGAGGAGAATACTACCCACAAATCATTTACGAATTATCTGTTTCAAGCGATTGAGAAATGCTAGGCGACTGCGATTACTGCTGCTGTTCAACGCGCAGACAAATTTTACCAAGCGCGCTTTAACCAGCAAGCCACGCCCAACCTGATGCTTCAATCAGAATATTAAACTAGTTCTGCAAGTGCGCAACCGGTTTTGTTTTGGAAGATGGATACACAAAGTCTGTGGCTACGGGAATCAAGATAGAAAGCGAAGCTGATTCCGCAACTGAAGACGAACAAACTCTGATCCTAGCAAAACTCCTCCAAGCTGCAAAAGGAGCAACGAAGGTTGAATTAAGATCAATTCAGTCATTAGTAGCAGTACCCGATCCGAACAAGATAAGGTTGCCGCACGAACCATTGCACGCTGACGCAGTCTGGTCAGCAGCAAGACAGCAGCTGCATGTTCACGACCAAACTTGATCTTGTCTAAAGGCGATGTAAAAGGACATGCACTGACAGCCCATGATCAAATTCAAATCGCGGTAAAGCGCCGTAGCGACGAGCAGAACGTGCAAAAAGAAAAAAGCGAGCAGAGGATATCATGAAATTTGCTGAAGTGCTACTAAAAAGCGGAAATGCATTGTTAAACTAGATCAAACATCTGCGGTGTGATCTAATAGCAAGACGCTAAGGGAATTGTCTTTGAAATACAAATGTATATCGTGTATTTGCCATCGACGTTAGCTTTGTTCTTTTTGGACCCCTACGCTTCGTCATCACCGATTTCGTTTTCGCTTTCAGCAGAGAAATATGAGCTGAGCAGCTCACAGCCGTCTATATAATCGTCCTCCAACCCAACCTTGACACTCGACGGGATGAGCATATAGAGATATCGCTCACGGATCTTGGGGCATTGAGCCTCGTCCACAAATTGCCTGTTACAGTTTAGAAAAGCTGACATATCGATGTTATGAGGATACATTGACCCCCTTGGCAGCGTTACTAGCTGGCCAGCCGTTCCGAAGTCGCCCTCTTTCTGTGCCGATGAAGACGGAATAGCATACACAATGCGTGCTACCAGCGGAAGAAATTGAAATGTATTGTTCTCTGCCTGACGCCTCCAAATCTCCAGAATCGTCTCCGGCCGATTGCCGATTAATTGAATAGAGGTTGGTGTCGCCTCTCACCTCTCTAACTCTTCATCAACGCGACTGTTTATGTCGGCAGCGGGTGCGGACTCCACGCGGGTATCAGTCATGAGATATCCAAAGACCATCAGGTCCTCCGAGAAGAGCGTTAGATGAGGTGCTGGCACCATCTCGTGTTAAGAAGATGCAACGCGCATGTCTGGAGCTGTTACCACTGACAGCATTACTGCCCGCACTTTGTCGTAGACGATTTTCTTGATCGTGACAAAGTGTCGTTCTCTAGCAGCAGTGACAGCCCCTTTTCATCAGTATTGCACAGAAACATCATTTTCTTCAAAACCCATCAAAATGTTTGATACAAGAAAAGCTGCATCTCCAACACAAAGGAACATTTATCATAACCTCACGGTTCGTGTAACGGAAGAAGATTTGTTTGTGAAAGGCGTTAGGAGCCGTGAGCGAGTGGAGGTAGCCAATGCAGTGAAGTCCTCGGGTCTGAAGGTCATTCGTGAGTTTTGCTGGAGCGATTTTCCCGTAGTTCCTTAAAGCAATCCAACACTGTAGACGCATCTTGTACAAGGTCAACAAAACTTCGACCTGGTTTGCACTTTCGCCCTGACTCTTGATGTTCACTTAAGTTATGGGCTGCAGAAGCGACAAAATCTGTGTGAGATTCTGATAATCTCTTCCCAGCGTAAATCCAGCAGGTAGATCCGTGTTTTCACTTCGAGCTTTATTCAGACGTTCTGCGTACCAGAATACTAAAGGCTCCCACAGATCGAAAATTCTCTTGATCACACGAGTAAGACCCCAAAATAGGTGAGTGCGGTGTTCTAATAGCTGATGAGATGCTCGATTACTCTTAACATAGACGCACAGCTCTTCGAACTAAGAGCCCATTACTTCAACATGCTTCACCGTGTAAATGGTCTTCACAATATGACGG